AAATAAAGCAAGAAGTTAGTAAGTTATATAATAAAAAAAAAACAAGAATACTTATAAAAAAGAATACTGAGAAGCGAAACTGAAAGTTTATTTCAAAGTTCTAACCATAGATACTGAAAATAACAAGAAAGGAAGCTAGAATCTAAAAGAAAAATAAGCAAGAAGTTAGTAAATTATATAATAAAAAAAAAGTGATACTTATAAAAAAGAATGCTGGAAAGCGAAACTGGAAGTCTATTTCGAAGTTCTAACCATGGGTACTAAAAATAACAAAAAAGGAAGCTAGAATCTAAAAGAAAAAGAAGCAAGAAGTTAGTAAGTTATATAATAAAAAAAAAAAGTGATATTTATAAAAAAAAAATACCAGAAAGTAAAACCAAAAGTCTATTTCAAAGTTCTAACTATAGGCACCAAAAATAACAAGAAAAGAAGCTAGAATCTAAAAGAAAAAGAGGCAAGAAGTTAGTAAGTTATATAATAAAAAAAAAGTGATACTTATAAAAAAGAATACAGAAAGACGAAACCAAAAGTCCATTTTGAAGTTCTAATAATAGGTACTAAAAATAACAAGAAAAAAAAGCTAGAATCTAAAAGAAAAAGAAACAAGAAGTTAGTAAGTTATATAATAAAAAAAGTAATACTTATAAAAAAATGCTAAGAAGCAAAACCAAAAGTCTATTTTGAAGATTTAATTATGAAGCCAAAAAAAACAAGGAGCTAAAAAACCTGACATATTAAAAGCAAAAAAAAAAGAGTCTTCAGAAGTGAAGTCCAAAGAATATCTGAAAAAAGTAAAATATGAAAATATAATAGATGAAAGTTTTTTATAGAAATTGCTATTTGCACTATGATTTTTGCTATTTGCACTATTAATTTGACTAAAATTATATCCTAACTCTAACTAATTCTGATCAAACTAATAGTACAAATAGCAAAAATCATGGTGTAAATAGCAGTACTCTTTTTTTATAATCACTAATCTTAATCATGATTGGCTGATCATTAACAATATTTAACATCAGTCGATATTATCACATGATAGAAGAAATTGATATATGTAGTTAGACTTGAATATTTAATAAAATAAAAAAAATTTAAAACAGTGAAATATACAATTACTTGTTTAGCTCTAAATAGAGTAAATGTGAATTATATGATTTTATGAGTATTGTTCTATAGGTAATTGCAGGTAGATCAAAATCTATAATACAGAAATAGAAATCAGATCTCCAGAATTATCTATATACACAGAATAGTATAACAAACTATAAGAAAATAAATTACTATATCACATATTAAAAGTTAGACTAATAATTTTATATGATAATACAAAATATAAGAGCAAGTGTTACTTTAGATATGAAGATATAATATGTAAAGTTTGCTTTACCATTATATATATACCCAATAAGATGCAAGATTTTGTGTATTAATAGTATTTAAAATTAGAGAAATATCAGTTTAAATCGATAGTTTTATTACTTGTTTGATATTTTATTGATTTTATATCTATATTCTTTATATATATTAAAATATTTCAATAGCTATATCAGGATTCCAGTAGGCCTATCGATTATCCCAATAGGTCTATGATTTTTAATAACTAATATTAGTAACATATCAACTCCTGATATGTTCTCGATATTTACCTGACATGCATACTCTTAATATGACTTCATTTGACCTATAATATATTTATAAAACTATTTTCTATTAAATTCTAATTAAAATAGATATAAAAAAGAATGTTAGTATAAATCATACATAGTAATCACATAATCTCACAGAAAAATTGCTTACTAGAATTTGTTGATATGGGTTTAAAGTAAAAATTTATTACAATTATTATTGGACACTTTGTAAAGTAGAATTCTTAGTAATCAATAATAGATTTAATATTTGACAAGCTTATCACCTCTGCTTGTGCATTATAGTTCTTAAGCCCTTGTTGGTTAGTTTTTGCTCTAAATAATTTTATATCAATTCTTCTGTCAAACCTTTTAACAAAGTTATGAATTTGGAGACTTTGATGCTTGTCTCCCCATAATTCCAACAAAATCGCATTATAAAAAAAATCTGTCACAACAACCCTTTCAAATTATTACATTGCATTGTGAAATATGTTTAACCTCTTTCAACATCAAATTGTTTGCACCGGTTCATTCTTCTAGCCTTTTTGCTGATAGGTTTTTGATTTTTTTATTAATCACTTAATTTAGTTCAAAGTATACTTTGGGATTCAAGATGTCAATGAGTTTTCTAAACAGAATGCTAGTTGAGATATCACCATATAGCTACCAAGCAACTCTTTATTGATATTGCACAATAGTTCCCACTATCACATCGTCTCATAGCATATATGAATCTAGAAAGTTGGGCTTTCATGACCATTTTAGATTTGATTTCTTCTACTTTTCCTTCATACTCAATATTAGAGCAAAATTTCTCAAATGTCTTGATCTACTGCTATGTTGCTTTATAAATAGCCAGAACTTTCACATCTTCCCAAATTGTTTTTAATTCTTCTACATATAGTTCTGTGTACTTAATTCTCTAAAAAGTAAATTAATATTTTTTTGAAAAAAATAACAGACAGAAATAAATTTATGAGTAAAATAATTCATTATCTGGCTGTGAAGTTTAATATGTCAGCTTCTGGGCCCCAAAGGGGCCCAGAAATGACACATATTAAATTCACTGTCAGATAAGCAAATTATTGGTTACGTAGCATACAACAACGGTGTTATCCGGTGGTTTGCGACATTTGTGCTTGCTAAATGACTCGAGTTTTTGGCAATGATTACGTAAGCTGTCAAATAACTTCGTTATTTGGTAGGGACGTAACCATTGCCAAATAACTCAATTTCATATGATCATGTGAATTTTTTTGCCATGATATTTTTTACATGAATTACGTAATCAGTTTTGCAAAATATCATCACATGGTCATATTAACTATCCAATGATGTATACTTATTTGGCAAGCACTATCATAGTAAGCTGCCGGATAATCAAGATTACAGGAGGAGTATGATCCTAAATGACCTTCCGCAAATAGTAATTCTAATTTAATAATGAATACTTGAGAAAAAGGCTGATTCAGTGGAAAACGTAGTTGTAATTCTCACCAGCCATCGCCAATTTAGCTCTAACTACCGTCCTACATTATGCACAAACTCAACTGCTTATCTGTTATGATGATTCCCGCATATGATTTTAATGCTAACAATAATAAATCATAACTAAAATTCAACTAAAACATCAGACTGGATTATTCCTATATAAACATACGTCAATATTTTTTTTGCTATTAATTAATAACGTAATCATCTTACATATTCGAGTTTTTAATACCCACATAATCCAAATTGTTATCGTTAAACATAATTATGAGCATATGATCTAATCAATATCATCTGACATATAATTAATGAATTTGACCAACAATGACACAAGTAACGCAATAGGGGCGCCGGTGGCACCCCATCTTCGCTTGTAATAATATATATATTACTTAATTTAATAATCATAATATCTTTATCAAAAGTTTTTGTTTATATAGTCTAGATTTTTGCAGTTCCAAAATTTGTTAGTGTTGGGATTTATTAATATCAAAAATTGTTAGTATCAGGATTTTGGATTTTGTTAGTGTTAGGATTCTGGTAATATCAGGATTCTGATAACATTAGAATTCTAATATTGTTGGGATTTTGAAAGTTTTGGAATTTTGAATGTTGGAATTTTAATGCTGTTGGGATTTTGAAAGTGTCGGAATTTTGAATAATACTGTTGGGATTTTAATTTGTCGAGATTTTTGTATTTTGGGATTTTGTTGTGGTGATTTTAAGTGTCGGGATCTTGAGTCCTGGGACTCTGTAGGATAACCTTCAAACTATCGAGAATTTCTTTTGTTTCTGGACGATTGGCAGGATCGCTGTCCCAACATTTTTCGTAAATTTCGATATATTGAGATGGTGTACCTTCTATAGGTTTTTCTTTATTTCCCCGAATAATATGAAGCAAAAGCCTACTAGGCGACGATTCGAAGGACTGGAATGGTGGTCTTCCACTTGAAATTTCCCAAAGAATTACTCCCAAGCTATAGACATCAGATTTCTTATTACGTACATAATCGAGATCTTCGAGATACTTAGGATCGACATATGCCACCATTCCGAAAGTTGAATTTGAAGTCACGGATGTTTCGTTTATCTGTTTTGATAGTCCAAAATCTGCAATCATTGGCTTTTTATCATGAATTAAAATGTTTTTCGAATGCTAAATTATTAAATAGTGATTAAAATACTAGTCATCTAATAATATAATATCAAGTAAAATATATAAATAATTACAAGATCTCTATGAATAATATCATTATTATGTAAGAATAAAAGTCCAAGCGCAATTTCCTCAGCAATATGTAGTTTATCTTGCAATTGTAATCTCGTAAAATTTGCTTCTAGATATTCTCGCAAAGTTCCTTTGTCAGCATATTGCAAAACCATATGATAATATCCGTTGCTATCTATATATTTGATTTGGCAGATACGGCATTTTTTGCTTAATACGATTATTATTTGAATATCTCGAAAATAATAAATTATTTGCTTACCTTGTGTGATTCCAAAGAATGTAATAACATTTGGATGGCAAGAAACTTTTCGTAATAGCTTAAGCTAATTATATGAAAACATGAACATACTATTCGGTAATTAAAGTTTAAATAGAGTAAAATAATACCTCATTGATAAAACTTTTAATGGTTTTTTCATTTAAACATGTATTGACTTTAAGACATTTAAGTGCAACCGTTAATCCATTGTCTTTCCACTCACATTTAGAAACCGTTCCAAAGGCTCCAACACCGATCTCATCAAGATTTGTAAATTTATTATATTCAAGAAAACTAATATGCCCATCGGAAACTGCTTTTTCGAGCCATTCTTCTGATATGTTTGCCATGGCATTTTTTTTTTGTGCTGAGAAGCGTATCTCTTTAGCTAATTTATCAAGTTTAGAATTTGCAATTCCGACTTCAAAATCAATTTTTTCAAGATCCTAAAATCAGCAAATGCAAAGTTGTCCTTAAAATTGATATAAAATTATAATCTTTCAGATTATTTATACATACATCTAAGGCTTTATCAATCCTTTTAGCTTCTTCTTCTCTTTCATTTTCATTAGTAATTGCCATAGAATCCTAAAGTCAGCAAATGCAAAGTTGTCCTTAAAATTGATGTAAAAGTATAATCTTTCAGATTACTTATACATACATCTAAGGCTTTATCAATCCTTTTAGCTTCTTCTTCTCTTTCATTTTCATTAGTAATTGCCATAGAAAAATGCAAATCTTTCATACAGGTATCATATTGTTTAATCAATTTATTAAATTGTTGTTTGACTTTACCAGCTTCAATAAATTTTCTAAGACCTTTAAGTTTTGCCACTTGGTCAGTGAATTCTTTAATCTCTTCCAAAACATTTACAAATTTTTTGAGGGACAAAGAATATTCGTTTTCAAAAAGATAATCATCATCTTTTCTCGACATCTTTTCTAGAGCAAATTTTGCTGCTGCTACCCGATCAGTCATGACAGCACACATTTCTTTATTACATTCCGCATTCTCATAAACTTTATGAATTTCTTCAAATATAATTTTCACAGTTTCAACTAAAGGAACATAGGAAGCCGCGATTTTAACTTCAATTTTAACAGTAGAGTCGGACATTGAATTCTTGGCCATAATGATAATGAAATTGAATCTATAACTTAAAATCCGATTTCTCAGAAATTGGTGATAGTTCAAACCTAAATAGATATCGTATGTGCACCATGCCTGCTATTTCAGATGCTTGACGTTATCAATCAATTTTTTTTTTCAATCAATAAAATAATGGCCGTTCATGCAAATGTACCCTTTATCCGATTTGATTGGTCAATCTTGCATGAAATCCGTATAAGTGATAGCGTACGAAAAAGTTGTAATTTTTGCATAGAATTTTATATATGATGGCATCATTTTTACGTATAAGGGAACGATGTGTATTCTGGTATTGTGGCGCACTTATGTTTTTCGATGATATCTTGCGATTCACTGAACCGAATAGAATAATTTTAGTACCATTCGATTCGTCTTATTGAGACGAATCGAATGGTATAAAAATCACTTTAATTAAAACTCTTGGAAACTCTTGGCCACAAGATTCAAGCA